AGAAGGAGACTCCACAACATCCCTGGGCAGCCTGGGCCAGGGCTCCGTCACCCTCAGAGGGAAGAAGTTCTTCCTCATGTTCAGACAGAACTTCCTCTGCTCCAGTTTGTGCCCGTTGCCCCTTGTCCTGTCACTGGGCACCACTGGAAGGAGTCTGGCCGCTTCCTCCTGACACCCACCCCTGCACAGAGCAGTCCCAGCTCCAGAGTAGGTCCTGACAAACACGCCTGGAGACACGCGAGATGATAAAGAGAGGTGAACCTTGCTCGCTGTGGCTGCATCCAGGCTCTTGTCGGGTTGTCTGCATGTGATGTGAAATAACGATGGCTAAGCGCAGTGCTGTAACCCATTTCAGGCACAAAGAAATTAATATCACCGTGTTCTTTCTGACTCGATGCACCAGCAAGTGCTCCGTGCACTTCATATTGCAGAGCAGGGTAAATCTGAGACTTTCTATCGTGAATTTGCAACCTGGGAAATTCCAGTTAAAAAAAAAAAGGGGGGGGAGAAAAAAACCTCCATGAAGGTGGTCAAATCCTGAAAAAGGGGCCAGGGAGGGTGTGAAACCTTGGGTGGTCCCCAAGGCTCAGTGGGATGCTGGGGTCTGAGATGTCCCTGGTAGGTGCAGGTGGTTGTGCTGGAGACCTCCGGGGGTCCCTGCCACAGGAAAGCCATCTCAGCCCCTCCTGGGCAGGGCGTCCCCGACAGCAGCACAGCCGATAAGGGAGGAACAGGAGCACAGACAGCCCAGGAGGACATTTGCCCCAGGCTGACAGTGCTAGCCGGGCAGCCAACCATCAGCTGGGTTAAAGAACAACCAGGGCATTATCAAGAAGATTTGGGAGTAAAAAAGGATTTGGCTGATTGACCCCGGGTGCCTTTAGCTGTGTGTCGTTAACAAATCAGCCAACTGCTTTGATCCTGGCTTGATTTAACCCAACTGTGCAGCTTCTCCCTCAAACCCCCGTCACTGTGTGTCTCTAGGACAGCACTCAGGCATTGCTCCAGATTTCACCATGGTCCTTGCAGAGGCTGCAGCCTCTACAGGCTGAGGTAATACACAAATTGGTATATTTTTGTTTTTTCCATGTATGCAATGTTTGTCCACCACCCAGCAGCTCTTTCCACAGGAGAGGCATCAGGGGATGGCAGCAGCCCAGGCTGGCATGGGCTGTAGGATATCGGGTCTGAAGGAGGAGGCTGCTGAGCAACACCACAGCTCCTGTGATCTGTTGTGGTCTGGGTGCCATGGAGATCATGGCTTTTATTGCTGTCAGCAGGGTGATGGAAAGCAAAGGTGTGGAATGGAGGACAGGGACTGCTTGATAGCATCTGCTTTTGGGGAGGTTTACCACTGCTGCCTCTTAAAAGGCTTTCAGGGTGCCTTCATTCACAATGAAGGTCACCCCTATACCGTATTTAACTTAAATTTTTAGCTGACTAAAATTAAATGAGGTGTATTATGCTGCTCATCATTTAGTGAGGTTTGAGTGTGAAAAAGAAAAATATTTCCTGGGTAGCATGCCAGTTATTTGCTGTCAGGTCTATTTTTCTTGCTAGGTGTTGGCATCCTGACGCTAGTTATTGTGGCCCCTAATGACTTTACAACCCTGTTTTGAAATGGAATAGTAGAATCCACCTCCTGTTTATTCTGGCTTGCTAAGCACAAGGGAGAGCAATGCATAACACAGCTCACAATCTGAGCCTGACCAGCTGCACAAATTTTTGCCATGTTCTTCTGGTTTGCTCTGGACTGATGGGTGGGACTGAATAATGGTCGAGGGCAAAGCCTTCCAGGAGGAGTAGTGCGTGCTTACAGTTCTCTACCTGTGTCTTCATTAGGTTAAATAAACTACTAAATATAATTATCATGATTTGGAGAACTGAGTGAAATTATTAGCATCCTGAACCAGCTGAGGATATTGAATCTGCCAGTGCAGCTCCTAAGTCAAAGTGCAGAAGACCCCAAAAGTGTTATCAATCTGAGATATTTAATCAAGAACCAAGAACATCACCCACATCTCCATTCTCTCCAGCCATAAATTTACAACATTCAAGGTCATTTTACTTTTGTGAGTCTCCTCAAAGCCTCCTTCACCTCCTTATTCCTCAGGCTGTAGATCAAGGGGTTCAGCATGGGAGTCACCACGCTGTAGAGCACTGCAGCCCATTTATCATCTTCTCTTGAGCTGCCTGAACTGGGCTTTAAGTACATAAAAAGTGACGTCCCATAGAAGATGCTCACAGTCATGAGGTGTGAGGTGCAGGTGGAGAAGGCTTTGCGCTTGCCCTCTGCTGAACTGATCCTCAGGATGGCAGAGATGATGGCCACGTAGGAGACCAGGACAATCAGGCTGCTGGATGCACCAAATAATGCTAAAATTCTTAGGATAATGTGGCTGAGGGTGGTGTCGGAGGTTGAGAGCGATATCAGAGGGGAAATGTCACAGAAGAACAGGTCGATGACGTTGGAGCCGCAGAAGGATGAACTGGACATGCTGATAGTCTGTCCTATGCCGTTGGTCAACCCCATGAGATATGACCCAGTCACCAGCTGGAAACAGCATTTTGGGGACATGATAAGGGGATACACCAGGGGATGGCAGATGGCCACGTAACGGTCACATGCCATCACAGCCAGCAGGAAGCATTCGGTTATCCCAAAGAGATCAAAAATGAACACCTGAGCCACACACCCAGCATAAGCAATGCCCTTCTTCTCTGCTAGAAAGTCAACCAACATCTTGGGGGTGATGGTGGTGGAAGAGCAGAGGTCTACAAAAGCCAAGTTACCCAAGAAATAATACATGGGGGAGTGGAGCTGGGGGCTAGCCCTGATTAATGCGATCATCCCAAGGTTCCCCAGGATGGTGATAAGATAGATGAGCAGAAACAGCAGAAAGAGGGTGACCTGAGTGACTGGGTCCTCTGTGAACCCCGTTAAGATGAACTCGGTCGCTGGGGTGCAATTGCTTTCTGCCATTAGTTGGATGTGTGCTTTCTGTGTGAACTCCTGGTTGGAAGTTTCTTCTACAACAGGCGGGTATCTCCCAGGCAAAAACCTCTCCAGAGGGACCTGCTCGGAGACAATCATACGAGACCAAAAGGAAGAGCTTTGGCACAGAAACAGCTTGCCAAAAGTCATATCACAGCGTGGGTAAAACAAACGAGGTGCTGCAGAAGCAAAGCTTTGCCCAAGCTGTAAAATCCCACAGCGCAGCGTGGTGTGTGGTCCTCTAGCTTGCTTCTGGATGTTAAGCAATGACCTTCACGAAAAGCTATAGGAGGTTACACGCCTGAGTAGCTTTACCTTAGTGCTGTATTTCATACCCCGTGTTTACATCCAGCCTCTGGGATCATCCAGCTCAACCTGAAACCCAGAGAACTGATCATTCATCATCTCGTTGGCGCTTGCCAACCACCCACTTCCTCCCTCTTTCCTGGGGCTTCTTCCTGACTACGAAACCTCACACAGAGGTTTGCGTTGGTTTGCCTTCCCTCCTGATGCACAGTTTTAGCTAGAAAAGCTTTTCCTAGGTCTTTAGCCTGTTCCTAGAGTCTTCAGATGGAAAAAGGGCAACCCCCAAAGCTGAGCAATCTCTCCTTGAAAATATCTGGTGGAAAAATAATCACCTTTTGGACTTGCCTCACCTCAGCAACAGTAAGCTCCCTAAATGTTCCTTACAGGAAAGCTTCTGGTCCTCACCCAGGAGCCTTTGGTGGTCAATGAGGAGAGGAAGTATCCTGAGCATGCTCTCCAGCGGGGCCATCTGCAGACCTCCCTTCTCAGCAGTTGTGTGGTGAGGACACAGGACAGCCAGCTCCCTGGTTTTGCTGGAAAGTTCAGAGTATTGTGAAGAACTGCAGCCCAGGATGCTGCAGGTAGGTCATGAGATGAAGATAGGAGCTGTTTCTTTTTTGCAAGAGAAAACTACTGGAGATGGATGGCTCAGCATGCATGGTCCTTGCTCGTGAGTCTGGTAGTGGAGTTCCAGCTTGATGGACTATGACCCTCACATCTTGGCACTATCTCTGCTTCCCTGCTGATGCTCTTGGCGTTGGATGCGAAGCGGCGTGTGCCTGAAGCTCTGCAGGGGAGCTTGAAAATAAACCCCTGTCAGCAAACACCCTCACTATTTCACGTAATTCGGGGATTTGGGGACTGAGGATCTCTTTGAGCCTCAGGAGAGTGACAAAGCCCAAAGCAGGTCATTATCTTTTCTCTGCACTTCTTAGTTTGGAGAAGAAGCATACCCAGAGGAGGTGACCTCAGCTGGAGTGAACAACAGGGCTTTGGGCTCTCTTCAGCACAAACCACAGAACAACCCCCCCCATTTTCACGTCCACTTTTTGGACATTTCAGAGACAGGAGCAGCTCCACAAGTGCCGTGTTTGTCCTCGCTAGGGAGCTGAGGGAGACCTCGGTGATGGGACATGGTCCTGCGGGGGCTGAGCCAGGGCTGGTAATGGGGACCACCAGCAGTCCCAGGCACTGTAGACAGTGAACCACCTTTCTACCCATCTTAAATTCCTTGTTTGCAAACCATAGCTCACAAGTTTGGCTGCAAGGAGCCAACAGAAGATCATGGTGACCTGGCTAAAGTTGAGGTAAATTCCATCCGCTGTTCTCCTGTTCATCCACACAGCCATCACCTCATCACCCAAGGCACTCAGGTAGGTCAAGCTTGACTTGTCCTCGGTACATCCACACTGGGTACTCAGTGTCACTCTCCTGTCCTTTCTCTGCCTGGAGAGGGCTTCCAGGGGGATTTGCTTCTTAGTCCCGCTGGGGACTGGGGCAGCCTGCAGTCCTTGTGACCTCCATCTTGGTGATGACATTTACCTTCTTCCACCCATCAGACTGGAAACGCGCCGGCCGGAAGGGCAAAGGAGAGCCTGAGGGAGACGTGCCCAAAACTGAGAGGAATGTGATGGGAAGGATCAGATGAGGACCATGAAGAAGAACTGGAAGGGGGAGCAAGAGGGGGAAAGGCCATTCTGCAGAGGTGAAGGAAAGCTCTAGGGCTGACCCTGTCTCCGGTGGCTCTGATGGGGGTTCCCAAGCCCAACAGGAGATGTGGTGAACCTCTTCTTGCAGCTTTCTCACACCCAGCAAAGGTGAGTGCCAAGGGCAGCAGAAACCGCTGTGGGATCAGGTCTTCCTCGTGTTCAGCTGGAGCTTCCTCTGCTTCAGTTTGTGCCCGTTGCCCCTTGTCCTGTCGCTGGGCACCACTGGAAAGAGTTTGGCCCCGTCCTCCTGACCCCCACCCTGCAGATATTTAGAGGCATTTCTAAGG